AAAAATGTTGTTGGATCTGATGCATCGCACTTACTAAAATTTCTACTTGAATAGCAAAAAGAAGATCCTACGATGTTTATTCAACCATTAATAAATACAGATAGTAATCGGCTAAGTGGTATTTTTTGGATAACAGCAAACCAAATTATGTTATAGTCTCGATATTCAGATATCATTTTACATGACAATACTTCAAGAACCAATAAATACAATTTTCCTCTATCTTTATTCATTCTTATTGATAATGATGGTAAATCACAGTTGGTAGTACAAGCATTTTTAAGCGATGAAACTCAAGAAAGCTATAAATGGGTCCTACAACAAACCTTGGATGCAACTGGTTCTGAGCCACAGGTTATAATGATAGACATGGATCCTGCAATGGATGCGGCATGTCAAGTAAAATATATGAATTCTTATCATATTCACTGTATCTGGCATATGTCTCAAAATTTGTCTAAACGGCTTAAAGCAAAACTTAGAAGCGAAAATTTTAAAGAATTTATTTGTGATTTTTGGAAAGTACAGAATTCTTTAAACATTGAAGTTTTTGAGTACCGATTTCAATCTTTACTAGAAAAGTATCCAAGTGCTAACAAATATTTGAGTCATCCTATTTATTCAACACGGCAATCATGAGCTAAATTATTTATAAGTAGAATATTTACAGCAGGCATGCAATCTACCTCACGTGTTGAATCAATTAACGCTATTATTCATAAAGCAGTTGCTTTTAGCTCTAGTATGTCAGATGTAGTTGAAGCTTTAGAGCTTCGTATGCAAAGGGAAGAATTAAATAAAAGTTTTATAGAATAGAAGCACAAATCAATAAGTAATCATCAATCATTTATCATTGAGCGGCTTTTTAGTAATGTTAATAATGTAATTCGAAAGTACTTCACACCACGAATTGCTGAAGAAATTAATAAACAAATGTGTGAATTGGTACTATACAAATGTGAAAAGTTGGATATTGATCATGCTCTTGAAGATCAATTATATTTGGATGAAAATGAACTAATTAATAGTCAGAAGGCAAGTTTTTTTTTTTTTTTTTTTTATGCATTACAATTAGTTATAATATAAGGATTTCTATACGTACTAGGATCAGAGTCACGAAGAAATAACAGAAAACATTGAAGATTTTTATGATTATCAGCAACTGTGTTTAAAAGAACTTTTAAAATCAGTCTCAAAAGAGGTAATTAAAGAAGTCTGGAAGGTTATTCTATACATGGTATCAAATTTGTATCAGTATATTGTTATGTTTAATGACGGTACACATTTGTGCATATGTCTATTGTTAGTTTCACACAGAGTTATTTGTCGCCACTATTTCAAGTTAATGGTAAAGAATGTGAATGCATTATTTCACATTATGTTAATGCCAACAAGATGGTTACATAATGATACTTAGAGATGTGTTGATTTAATATATGATGAGCTATTTATTAGCACATCATCTCTGCAATATCAAGGTGATAATAACACATAAAAACTTATTCCTAGACATTATTATAACATTCAAGAAGTTTAGGTCTGAACCTGTCTATAAAAAAAAATGAATTATGGTCGTTTAATAGGTTATTTTAAGAAAGTATTAAGCTACTCAATGGAAGATGATGATCAAAATGCTTTGGATGAACTTATCTTAGACTACATTGCTAAAAAAGAAGAAATTCAAAATATTCAAACTCAACTAGTGTCTGTTGAAGAAAGTCAAGCTTATGATAATATTAAAGATCCAGTAGTACGCAGGAGTAAAGGTAGAAGTCCAAATAAATGGTTGAAAGCTTTTAATGAAGAAACAAATAAGATTAGTAGTAATAAAAAACAACAGGATACTGCTGATAGTGATGGCGAAACTAGACGTAGATATAGATTATATCATAAATCAGGACATTATGCTTCTAAATACCCTAATAAGGAAAATGCAATGTAAATAGATTTATTTGTATTGTCAGTATTGTGCCTAAATTGCAAATTTGAACCATTTTTTACCTAGAGAAATTTAGTTTGACATATGCGTAAATTGCTTAGTTAATTAGAAGTCTATTGTAATAGCTAGGCTGTTTAGTTAACTAGCGTTAGTGTTTTATTTTTAATTTTTTTTTGACTGTCCAATCCAAAGATAGCCATCATGCATCAATCGGTGCATGGTACTTAATTGTTACATAATTAATTTTATGGAAATAACCAATGTTATAATATGTGACAATTAAGCACTATATACTGATAAGGCGCATGATGCCAATTATACGTATAATTTACTTGAAAGACTAATTCAAACGTGTTGTAATATAAGTCATTCTTAGATCTTCTTTGCTAAATCTTAAATATTGACTATTGTTATTAACAATCTATTTAACTTTAAGCAGTCTAATGTTAAACAAACTGCTTTTGACTTGTATTATTTATTATGGTCTTACTATAATTGAACCTTCCTAATTAAGAATCGAATTCTACTTCTATTGTAGTACCAAAAATAGTTTACTGTATCATATTTACTGTGGTATCGAAAATAGTGGTTATAACGACCATCATGATTAGCAAAATAAAATATAATATATTTAGGGTTAGCTTTGGTATATCATATAAGCAAAATTTTAATTATATCGATATATTGTATATAATATAAATTTAGTATCACATGATTTATATAAAGGTGGCATATAATATATATCGCATCATGCGCTAAATAAATTTACCCTTAACAATATTGGTTCATGATATTTTGTAAAAATTAAGGACGATATACTGTATATTTTTATATATAAAAATATCGCTTTATTATACAATATTCATTAATATTCATTTATTAGATGCTTAACTTTACATTAGCTGATATTTATATTATATTAGCCGATTTAATATTTATTAGTTTATTTGCTAATATATCGATATATTAAAACAATAAAATATAAAATATTTTTATTTATTACCTTTTTTTTCATTTTTTCTTTTCTTTTCTTTTATCTTCATCTTTCCTTTTTTGTTTCTCTTTACCTTTTTTTTGCACCACACCATCATCTTCACTTTCACTTTTATCTTCACTTTCACCTTTACCTTCATCTTCACCTTCATCTTTACCTTCACCTTCACCCTCATCCTTACTCTCACCTTTACTTTCATCATCATCTACATGATATACTTGCAGGTCTTCTTCTTCTACATCTACTGGTATTAATTTACCAGTCCTTACTATAGATGTTTTTGGTCTTGTTATTGATAGGCCTGTAGTTGCTTCAGCTAATATACTTGCTATTGTTGCTGCTGGTATTCTTGCGGTTGTTACTGCTAGTATGCTTGTGGTTGTTACTGCTGGTATGCTTGTGGTTATTGCTGCTGGTATGCTTGTGGTTGTTATTGCTGGTATGCTTGCGGTTGTTACTACTGGTATGCTTGTGGTTGTTGTTGCTAGTGTGCTTGCAGTTGTTGCAGTTGTTGTTCTTATGGTTGTTGCTGCTGTTGTTCTTGTGGTTGTTGCTAGTATGCTTGTAGTTGTTGTCATAGCTTTTTGAAGACTTGGTAGGGAAGAACTTCTTTCTCTTCTTTCTGTTCTGGTTCTTTTTCTTCTTTTATATAATACAACTCTATTATCATCATCAACATCGTCTCTTTTTCTTTTACCAGTTTTTTTCATACCAACCCTTTCCTCACTCTGCTTACGCTTGGGTTTTCTTTTTTTCTTTTT